AATTCATATTGTTATCTAGCCTATTTTGATTGTACTAGTTCCAGTCATCCCTGATTCTTCCCTCAATGCACAGCCAGCAGCAAAAGAACTGATGCTGCAAATAAGCTAGAAATGCAAAAATTATGCTCTTATTTGCCAACACAGTCATGTTTGAAAAATGATGAAGTTGAGCAGAAGAAATAACAGATTATAGGAAGGAGTCTTGCCCAAAATTTAACAGGTAATAAAACTGCAAACTTTCCAACACAATTATAAAGAACAGATGACAGTGAGGCATAAGTTATAATGTCTGTAATTATACTGTTGCCTGAGTAAGTAATAAAAGAAATTTGACTTAATGGAGATGCATCAATAGGCTGTTTTCCACTTTCAGAAAAATCTAAGGTGGAAGTAAGCTATCTGTTCAACACAGCAAGAACTATCACAATTGCCAAAATCTCTGCCAGTTGCTGTCAGAAGCCTGAATCTGTTGTGAATTCCAACTAGAAGAGACCCAATGAATAAAATAGATTTCCCAACATGTTGGTTTGGCATTTAACAACTGATTTAATGGGCATACTGTATTTAGGATTAATGCATAGGATTTAGATCAAACAGTGCTGCTTAAGCCTGCTTTGAGATTAGTGAATGGAAACCTTCCCTCTAAATGCTTTACTTTCCTTTTCAAAAGTTACTGCGATGCACATAAACAGCCCAATACTGCAGAGGCATTGCACAGAAGTAGAATTTCATCCCTACATATTTATATTGGAGAGACGGGTCATGCAGAATACAGTGGAACTTACCTCCAACTAAACATACACAAAATTTAGCAGCATGTGCATTTGTAACATTTGGATTCTCCAACTCACATGTCCAGAGATGGGAACCCCTGTTATCAAGCACCCACTTATGAACCAACCTGGGATAGACTAGGGCAGTGGTTGCCAACCTTTGGTCCTCCTGGTGTTTTGGACTTCATCTACCAGGAGTCCATTTGGCTTGGTCAAGAATCAGGAATTCAGGGGTCTGCAGTCCAAAGCAATAATTTAAGAGACATGCACAAGAAATGGAAAAGGGGGGAAATCATCGGATAGGAATTCAACCGAATAACCCACACATGTAGGGAAAAGGTAAATAAAGCTAAGACACAAAATGAGCTCAGGCTTGCCAGAGATATTAAAAACAATCAAAAGTGGTTCTTTGGTTATGTCAGTAGAAAAAAGGAAGAAGAAGGGAACGGTAGGGCCTCTATGTGGAGAAGATGGTGGAATGCTAACAGAGTTACTCAACACCTTATTGTCCTCAGTCTTCACCCAAAGAGAGATTGGTGTTCAACTGGAGCAATGTCAAGCGGACGAGGTAATTGGGGAAATGCAACCAAAAATAGATAAAGAAATTCTAAATGAAGTCAAGTCTCCAGGGCCAAATGAACTACATCCAAGAGTACTGAAGGAACTAGCAGAAGTCATTTCAGAACCACTGGCAATAATCTTTGAGAATTCTTGGAGAAAAAGAGAAGTCCCAGCACAATGGAGGAGGGCAAATATTGTGCCTATCTTCAAGAAGGGAAAAAAGGGGACCCACGCAATTACCTTCCAGTCAGCATGACATCAAAACCAAAAAAGTTTCTGGAGCAGACCATTAAGGAGGCAGTCTGCAATCACTTAGAAGGAATGCTGTGATTACTAAAAGCCAACCTAGATTTCTCAAAAACAAGTCATGCCAGACTAATCTTATCTCTTTTTTCTATAGCTTTACAAGCTTGGTAGATACAAGGAATGCTGATGATGTAGCGTATCTTGATTTCAGAAAAAACTTCGATAACGTCCCCCATTACCTTCTTACAAACAAACTAGTGAAATGTGTACTACGCCAGTGGTTCTCAACCTGTGGGTCCCCAGGTGTTTTTGCCTACAACTCCCAGAAATCCCAGCTAGTTTACCAGCTGTTAAGATTTCTGGGAGTTGAAAGCCAAAATATCTGGGGACCCACAGGTTGAGAACCACTGGAATTGGCAGTGGTATTAATTAGTGGATCTGTAACTGGTTAAGTGACTGAACCCAAAGGGTGTTCACCAATGGTTCTACTTCATCCTGGAAAGAAGCAACTACTGAAGTGCCGTAGGATTTGGTCCTGGACCCAGTATTGTTCAACATCTTTATTAATGGTTTAGATGAAGGTTTAGACTAGAGGGTATACTTATCAAGTTTGCAGATGACACTAAATTAGGAGGGATAGCTAATATGCTAGAGGAGAGGATCAGAATTCAAAATAACCTTAACAGCTGGGCCAAAACTAACAAAATTCATTTCAACAAAGACAAATGCAAGATACTACACTTAGGCAGAAAGAATGCAAAGATACAGAATGAGGGATGTCTGGTTCCACAACAGTCTATGTAAAAAAGATATTGGGAGTCTTTGTAGACAACAAGTTGAACATGAGCCAACAGTGTGATGCAGCAGCTAAAAAAACCAATGGGATTTTGGGCTGCATCAAAAGGGGTAAAGTGTCTAGATCAAGGGGTGTTATGATTTCTCTCTATTTTACTTTGGTTAGACCTAACCTAGAATACTCTATCAAATTCTGGACAATACAGTATAAAAAGATATTGATAAGCTAGAAGGAGTCCAGAGGAAAGTGACTGAAATAATTAAAGGTCTGTAGCCCCTATGAGGAGCATCTTAAAAAGCTGAGTATGTTTATCCTGCAGAAGAGAAGGTTGAGAGGAGACATGATCACCTGGCTTGTTTTCTGCTGCCCTGGAAACTAGGACTCAGAGCAATGATTTGAAATTATAGGAAAGACGATACCACCTGAACATTATGAAGAACTTCCTGACTGTAGAACTGTCCGGCAGTGGAACTCTCTGCCTCAGAGTGAGATGGAAGTTCCTACCTTGAAAGCTTTTAAACAGAGGCTGAATAGCCACCTGTCGGGTGGTGCTTTGATTGTGCTTTTCCTGCATGGCAGGGGTTGGACCTGATGGCCCATGTGGTCTATTCCAACTCTATGATTCTATGAAAATATCAAGGGGACAAACAGTTGGGGAATTGTTTTGAATATGTTGTTAGTTGCCCTGAATCTAATTACTGGGAGAAAAGAAGGATTTACATGAATAAAATGATGATAATGATAATAAAACCCCAGGCTGGCTACAGGGAGTACACAATTCCCTTGTTGCAACAGCTCCATTGGCTGCCACTTTCTTTGAGGGCACAATTCAATGTGCAGATCATGACCTATAAATCTCTATATGACTCAGGTCCAGGGTTTTGGAAAATTGCATCTCCCTGTATAAACTTGCCTGGGCCCTGAGATCCTCAAGAGAGACCCTTATCTGGTTGCCACCACCATTGCAAGCACAGTTGGTAGGAAGACGAGACAATGCTTTCTCTATGGCCTTCCCCTCAACTGCAGAACTCTCTGCACAGGGAAGCCAGAATGGTCCTTTCCTTGCTGTCCTTTTCATTCATGCTTTTACAGAAGGCATTTTTAAGCACTAGCTTGGGGAGCGATAGTTTAAGATTAAGGGAAGTCATACTACCCTTCTATTCTGCCTTGGTCAGACATTACCTGAAATACTGTGTCCAATTCTAGGCATCGCAGTTTAAGGAAGATGTTGACAAACTGGAATGTGTCAAGAAGGTGACAAAATGATCAAAGGCCTGGAGAACAAGCCCTACGAGGAGTGGCTTAAAGAGGTGGGCAAGTTTAGCCTGAGGAAGAGAAATGAGGAGACATGATGAGAGCCATGTATGAGAGACAAATATGTGAGGGGAAGTCATAGATGGATGTTCGAGCAGGCATTCGGTTAACTCAGTGCAAGGAATGTAATGATTAAAGGATTGGCAATATGGACGACGAAACTGGATTACGATTTTAGTCAGGAGTTGAATTGGATTGTTTGTTGATATATGTATTGTGTACTATGTTTTTATGCTTTTAAACTTTATATTGCCGATTGTTATATTTTGTTGTAAACCGCGCTGAGTCGCCGGCTAGGCTGAGAAGCAGCGGTATACAAGTATATCAAATAAATAAATAAATAGGGAGAAGGGAGCAAGCTTGTTTTTTGCTGCCCTGATGACTAGGATGTGGAACGATGGCATCAAACTACAGGAAAGGAGATTCCACCTGAACATGAAGAAGAACTTCCTGACTGTGAGAGCAGTGGAACTCTCTGCCCCAGAGTGTGGTGAGGGCTCCTTCTTCGGAGGCTTTTAAACAGATGCTGGGTGGCAATCTGTTGGGGTGCTTTGAATGTGATTTTCCTACTTCTTGGCAGGAGGTTGGACTGGATGGCCCACGTGGTCTCCTCCAACTCTATGATTCTATGGGGGTGGTCCTGTTTTGATTATTTTAGAAGTTTGATTATTTTAGAAGTTTTCAGGTGATTGAAATTGATTTCTATATTTAATTCCATTTTAACATTTGTATGTTTGTGGGGATTACATGGTATTGGGTTTTTTCAATGTTGTGAGCTGCTTTGTGTTTTGGTCAAGAGATAATAACACCCCTGGACTAAGAGATTCCTCCGCCAATGCAGCCTACTTGACTCATTTCCTGTTGAGGTGCTTACCAATCCCTACGTGCGATACAGTTGCTGCTATTGATGCCATAGTAAGAGGCAACGAAAGCAGCTATTTTTCCGAACTTGTTTACCAGTCGAAGCAGCTCGATCGCAGCGGCAGGAGGATACTGTTCCCCGCAAATCAACCCTGCCTAAGCTCTAGCGTGACTCCTGCGGGGAATGGTCCTAACCCCAGGGAGGGAGGGAGGGAGCCCCAGCCGATGGGTGGCTCCGCCTGCTCCCATGAAGCGGCCCCTCTCCCACACCGAGCCACCCGCGCTAGGCCCCGCCGCCGCCCCGCCTCCAGCCCCAAACTCAGGCCAAGCCGGCCCTGCTCCCCTCGGCCCCGCGGCGACTAAGGAAGCCCGGGACCTCGTCGGACGGCTGGCCCGGCTCTCCCGCCCGCCTCCTGCCCGCCCCCGCCTTCCGCGCCCGGCGCCAACACCTGAAACTGAAGCAGCTTCTCCGTCTGCTCCGCCGACAGCTCCCGCTCCTCTGGAGCCGCCATTTTCCTGCCGCCTCTGACCCGCGATGGCGTCACTCGCCGGATGTGACGCGACAATTCGAAACTTCCGCTGGCTTCTACGCGCACGTGCCGAGGGGGCGGGGCGGAGGGGAGGAGACAACGAAGGGACATCTTCTTGGAGGGCGGGAAGCTGATCTCGGGGACTACAATTCCCAGAAACCCCCGCGGCGAGAATGCCTCTCTCCATATACATACATGAATCAGCGTGGCAACCCGTGACAGGCATCCTATCTTTTCTGGAGGCTGTGCTTTCTAATCACGCCCGCTTTTGGTCACTATTTGGAGAGATGACGCGGGATATAAATATAATAATGCCATGATAATAACAGCAACCACTTCCGGAGGAGGGAAGTGGGATTCCTCAATGACGGCGGAGAGGAGGAAGTAACCGGGTTGTTGTGAGTTTTCCGGGCAGTATGGCCGTGTTCCAGAAGCATTCTCTCCTGACGTTTCGCCTGTATCTGTGGCAGGCATCAACCCCTGAACGCGCCTTGTGAAGAAGACTCTGTGGGAGAGCTTTGTCCCAGGGATGCCTTAGGACTGAAATGGAGGCTCACTGCAGTGACACGAACAAGGAATAAGTAGGAGAGACATATTTCAAGCGACATACTTGGAGGAAAGGAAGGATTGTGCTGTTAAAAGAGGGCCTTGGGAAAGAAACCAGAAGACTAAGGCAATACAGATACAGAGAAGAGGAAAAGCGGTGCGGTTCGGGAGTTCATTTCTGTGAACCTCAGGCATAATATTTGAATTTTTTATATTGTGTAAATGCTATTTTAGACTGTAAGTCGCTCGGAGCGACTAAGAAATGAAGTGAAGTGAATTATAAATAAATAAAAAATGGAAAATTTCCATCCCTGTTCCACATCACATACAGAGGAGGAGCTACATAACTGTATGGACTGTGGGAAATGTTTCATGGGGAGTAGTTCTCTTACTGAACATCAAACTCATACAGGAGAGAAGAAACCATATACATGCATGGAATGTGGAAAGAGCTTCAGTCAAAGTGTACACCTGCGTCTCCATCAAAGGACCCACACAGGGGAGAAGCCGTATCAATGCACGGAATGTGGAAAGTGCTTCAGTCGGATTGACAGTCTGCATTCCCATGAAAAGACCCACACGGGCGAGAAGCCGTATCAATGCATAGAATGTGGAAAGAGCTTCAGTTGGAGTGACGGTCTGCATTCCCATCAAAGGACTCACACGGGGGAGAAGCCGTATCAATGCATGGAATGTGGAAAAAGCTTCAGTCGGAGTGACGGTCTGCATTCCCATCAAAGAACTCATACGGGGGAGAAGCCGTATCAATGCATGGAATGTGGAAAGAGCTTCAGTTGGAGTGGACAGCTGCGTTCCCATCAAAGGACCCACACGGGGGAGAAGCCATATCAATGCATGGAATGTGGAAAGAGTTTCAGTTACAGTGGACACCTGCATTTCCATCAAAGGACCCACACAGGGGAGAAGCCACATCAGTGCATGGAATGTGGAAAGAGCTTCTGTCAGAGTGGACAGCTGCATGCCCATGAAAAGATCCACACAGGGGAGAAGCCGTATAAATGCATGGAATGTGGAAAGAGCTTCAGTCACAGTGGAGATCTGAGTACCCATCAAAGGACCCACACAGAGGAAAAGCCGTATCAGTGCATGGAATGTGGAAAGAGCTTCAGTCGGAGTCACAGTCTGCGTTACCATCAAAGGACTCACACGGGGGAGAAGCCACATCAATGCATGGACTGTGGAAAGAGATTCAGTCAGAGTGGAAATTTACGTTCCCATCAAAGAAGCCACACAGGGGAGAAGCCATATCAATGCATGGACTGTGGAAAGAGCTTCAGTCAGAGAGGAAATTTGCGTTTCCATCAGAGGTCCCACAAACGGCTAGAGGAAGAGACCTACCTTTGAGGTTCCTAGTTCTGCTAAAAAAAATTCCCCAGACAAGAGTTCCATCCCTCCACAGGCAGGCAACTTTATTTATTTATTTATTTACAGCACTTATATTCTGCCCTTCTCAGCCTGAAGGGGACTCAAGGCAAATCACAGAACACATACACCGCAGACATTCAATGCCATTAGACATACAGGACAGACAGACAGATAGAGGTGTTGAGACTCAGCCTGTGTGTGAACCTGAGCCTGAATCTCTGATTGTATTGCCTAATGCTGATACAAATGTTGATGTTAATGTTGATGCTAATGTTGATGGGCCTAGTTTGAATAGTGAGGCTGAAGTGATCAATGAGGACAAGGCTCAAGATGGAGACACTTTGGGCAGTAAAAATCCTACAGACTTTGATTTAGAGACTTCAAGGGAAAAGCCAAGTTCTCATGAGAAAGTTTCTGTCAGACCGAGAGAAGAAAATTCACTCCCTTCTCCTTCTGGCCCAAGCTTGCAAGATAACTTGACACCTGGTCGAGTCAATGATAACAGCCGCAGTTTGGAGATAAGCCAGAACTGCAGGGAGGCTCAATGTTTATGTAGGTCCGAGAGAATCCGACAACTGAAACCAAAGATTAGAGTTAGCCGGAATCAGTTTTTGGGATTTAAGAGTGGCCGTAAGGGAGATTTCCTCAGACCAAGCATCGTTTAATTTCAAGTACAAACCTCCTGGGTTTTCCAGTTTCCAGTGGTCTGGTCTCTAAAGGAATTTCTGGCATCAAGTGAGATTTAGCAGGGGCTAATCTGTTCATGGATTTCTATTGAGAGTTTTCTAGACATTGCTGCTTGGGATTTTCTTCAAGCTTTCTGGACATTGCTGTTTGCTGTTTCATTTCGACTTTTTAACCTATGGATTTCTATCTATTTTATATTCATCAATCAATAAAAAGAACTGGATTTTTCCTAAACCAAGGTGTGGTGTATTAATGACAAGAGGGCCCTGTTTCCTGCTCTGGAGTGCAACAAGAATTATTTGTTGACTTTGGTGTCCTGGAGGTTATGCTCAATTCTGGCCACAGGGGGTTCTGTTGCTCCATCTTCTATGAAGACGAGCCTTTTATGATCACAGACTTTCTTCCTGTTCTTTGATCGCCAGCTTCTTAAGGTGTTGTGAAATGCCTCCCTGCTTAAGCGGTGCCTAATTAAGCGGTGCTCACAGCTGTTTTCAAACTGCTTAGGTAGTACTCACCCCGACCCGGGCTTGAACTGCCAACCTTTCGGTTGTGAAGGATCTATTGCTGCTGGTGATTAACCCAGCTGTGCTGGAAGCAAAGAGGAAGGCTGCCACCTTGTTCTCTGTCGTGGACAGGAGTCTGTGTGGCCTGGCTTGATTGCTGCTGGGGCAAATACCCACAGAGGAGGACTTCTCAGTATAACAGCCATTTTTGAAGGGTTTAACCTGACCTCTTCCTCCTCAAGGAGTGTATCACAGACTTTGAGGATGATCTCTGACGGCTTGCTGAAATGAGTAGAGATGAGATCTTATGATAAAAGGATTCGGGAAAAGACTAGCTCTTTGGGAGCAGATAACAGCGTACCTTCATACTGTTGTTTTTAATTTATTTGCTTTTGGTTAATTATAAGCACATTGCTATTGTTATATTCATTGGGTTGATTTGCTTGTATGTTTTCATTAAGGCATTGAATGTCTGCCATTTTTTGTTTGGAAACCACTTTGAGTATTATTATTATTAATAGTAGTAGTAGAAGAAGAAGAAGAAGTTGTTTTGGACCTTGACTGACAAAAGCAGCGGCTAGCAAACAAAGCCAATGGAAAAATCTGTCATTTTAGAGTAGCTGTGTTTGAATACTAGTATGCAAAGGGATTTTGCAGCACCTTAGAGGCTGAGGGTACATCTACACTGTAGAATTGATGCAGTTTGAGATCCCCTTGACTCCTGTGGCTCAGTGCTATGGAACCCTGGGAGTTGTGGTTTGGTGAGAGGCCAGCCCTCTTTAGCAGGGGAGGTGGGAGACCTTTTAAAACTACAGCTTTCACGGTTCCTTAGCATTGAATCATAGCATCTAAAGTGTGCCAAACTGCACTAATGTCACAGTGTAGATCAGGCCTGTGCAACTCGGCAGTAGGAAGGACTAAATTAAACGAGGCTAAACGTCCTCTTCTTGGCTATCCCTCTGATCTGTCATGCTAGAGGCAGCTCTATGATGCAGAAATATTAGGCACTATGTTCAATGTAGAATTAATGCAGTTTGACACCCCTTTAACTGACATGGCTCAGACTCTTTGGAGTTGTGGTTAAACAAGATCTTGAGCCTTCTCTGCCAATAAGTGCTGGTGCCTCACCAAACTACAGCTCCTAGGATCCCACAGCCTTGAGTCCTGGTCCTTCAAGTGGTGTCAAACTGCATTTATTCTACAGAGGGATACTCAAACTTGTAAATGAAGCTGTATAGGCTACAAAGAGACTTTGCTTTTAAATGTATGAAGTGGAAATTAATTAAAATAAAATAGGTTTTAAAATAAATCTGAGAAACAAGGATGCGTGCTTTAAGGCACTGCTTCTTAAACTGGGTTCCCTTCATTCAATGTTGTCATGAAAAATTTGACAACAGTAAAAAGTTTTGGAACTGTATTTGCAAGGCTTGCTAAACAGGCTGCTTTTCCTTTTATGAAGTACAGCTGAAGCATTTTCTGCAGAGTCCACTGTAAACACTGCCCATTGTTGCCACCAGATTTTTGCAAATGTGTAGGTGTTCAGAAACCTTTTACTATTGTCAATTTTTTCATGACCCCAAACATTGAGCTAAGGGATCTCCATTTGGGGTTGGGACCCATAGTTTCAGAATAAATTCCTTAAAGATGGCAAAAAATGAGGCATGATGTTTCTCAGGGCCCTCCCACACAGCCATAAAACCCAGAATATAAAGGCAAAAAATCCCACAATATCTGCTTTGAACTGGGTTATCTGAGTCCACACTGCCATATATTCCAATTCAAAGCAAGTAATGTGGGATTTTATTCAGCTGCGTGGAAGCGACCTCAGACTGTTATAAATAAATCCTCATATTATGACTGGCTGAGTTAACAGTTAGTACAAATTAGGCCACCACTAGAGGTCAGTAACTATCAGTTGCTTTTTTGACAGTACTTTTGCAGTTACTCTTTGCCTTTCAAGTCTACAGTACTGCAAAATGCACCTTTAAGAGTCACCATGTGGCACATGTAGTGTATGAACCACAAGGGCAGAAGGCTGCAGTCCAAGGTTGCCAGGAGGCAGAGGCAGAGGCAGGTTGATGGGATGCTGAATTAATGGTAAATGAAGGGTTTGAATAACCAAAGCTGGGGAAAGTATTGTTTATGCTTTCCTTTGCCTTATAATTTGTGGAAACTGATGTAGGAGCAAGGGTATCTCATGCCTTAATTTCCACTGAACAATAATGAATCTGCGTCTTTGAGGCAGAGATTCCAATTTCTCAGTTTTCTGAAAAGAGACTCAATAGGAAATCTGAAATTCACATTTTGGTCATGTCATTATTATGACCAACCAAAATATCACTAAATAATTCTCCACTATTTTCCATCAGGCTTACTGATCTAAGAAAACAGAGAAATGGCAAAGAAGGGAAACAAAGAAGTTCCAAAATTAAGCAAGATATTCTGACTGGGAAGTCTGAATTTGATTTGATTCTCTCTTCCCCATTTATTAAAAAATATAATTACCCAGGTGCATCTAGTGTAGAATGAATGCGATTTGACACCACTTCAACTGTCATATAACTCAATGCTATGGAATCCTGGAATTTCTAGTTTGGCAAACCACCATACTCTAAAGACATTGTAAAGCTACAACTCCCATTATTCCATAGCATTATTTTTACAGTGTTGATGCTCTCCAAGTATACTCAATATGATCATATTCCTCCATTATAAAATAAAACAGCTCTACTTGACAAAATACCTGTCTTCTTAAACAATTTATTTCTGGAGTCCTCCAAATTTGTTAGGTTATGCACCCAAGTGACATCTAACCATTCAAATAGCCACTCTCTAACAGAATATTTTCTGTATAGTAAAACAATGTTTATGATAGTATATGAACTACCAGATTTTTCATACTCTGATTTTGAATTTCCAACAAGTTCAATAATGTAGACAGCATCTCAAAAGGTATCCTGATACCCACTAGTTTTCTTTTTATAAGTATACTAGCTTGGGGACCCGGCACTGCCCGGGTTATTAGAGAAAGGAATTGTATATCAAGGTTGGTGTTTATCAGTTATTTATATGTCTCGTAGTGGTCTCAGGAAGTTAGTGAAGGTACTGTGAGTCCCATCATCTGTGGTCCATCGTCCTCCAAACTGCACCAGGATGGAGAGAGGGTCATGAGGGCTCTGTGTGCTAAGTTTGGTCTTGATCAGTCATTGGATGAGGGTCACAGCAGTCTCAGAAAGTGAGTTAAGGTACTGTAAGTCCCATCATCCATAGTCTCCCTCAAACATCACCAGAATGTTGAGTTGGCCATGGGGGCTCTCTGTGCCAAGTTTGGTCTTTATTGGTATTTGGATGAATGTCACTGTGGTTTCAGGAAGTGAGTGAAGGTACTGCAAGTCCCATCATCCATTGTCCGTCCTCCTCCAAACAGCACCAGGATGTAGAGTCTCTCATGGGGGCTCTGTGTGCCAAGTTTGGTCTTGATTGGTCATTAGATGAGGGTTGCAGCAGTCTTGGGAAGTGAGTGGAGGTACTTGAAATCCCATCATCCATAGTCTGTTCTCCCCCAAACCTCACCAGAATGTTGAGTTAGCCATGGGGGTTCTGTGTGCCAAGTTTGGTCTTCATCAGTCATTAGATGAGGGTCTCAGTAGTTTCACTAAGTGAGTGAAGGAACTGCAAGTCCCATCGTCCATGGTGCATCATCCTCCAAACCGCACCAGGATGTAGAGTGCATCATGGAGACCCGTTGTGCCAAGTTTGGTCCTTATCGGAAATTGGATGATGGTTGCAGTGGTCTCAGGAATTGAGCGAAGATACTGCAAGTCCCATAATCCATGCTCGATCCACAGTCAAACCACACCATGGCGTAAAGTGGGTCATGAGAGGTCTATGTGCCAAGTTTGGTGTTGTTCAGTCATTGTTGAGGGTCGGCAGCAGTCTCGGAAAGCAAGTAGAGGTACTTCAAGTCCCATCATCCATGGTATGCCCTACTCCAAACCGCAGTAGGATGTAGAGTGGGTCATGGGGGCTCTGTGTGCCAAGTTTGGTTTTGTTCGGACATTAGATGAGGGTTGCAGCAGTCTTGGGAAGAGAGTGGAGGTACTTGAAGTCCTATCATCCATGGTCTGTCCTCCTCAAAAGTACACCAGGATGTAGAGTGGGTCATGGGGACTCTGTGTGCCAAGTTTGGTCTTGATCAGTCATTGGCAAGGGTCTCAGTGGTCTCAGGAAGTGAGTGAAGTGACTGCAAGTCCCATCATCCATTGTCAAATTCTTCCAAACCGCACCAGGATGTAGAGTGGGTTATGCGGGCTCTCTGTGTAAATTGTGGTCCTGATCCATCATTGTTGGCAGTTATAATGGTTTTAGGAAGGGAGTGCAGGTATTGCAAGTCCCATCGTCCATGGTGCATCCTCCTCCAAGCCGCACCAGGATGTAGAGTGCGTCATGGAGACTCAGTGTGCCAAGTTTGGTCTTTATCGGTAATTGGATGAGGGTTGCAGTGGTCTCAAGAATTGAGCAAAGGTACTGCAAGTCCCATAATCCATGGTCCATCCCCCACCAAACCACACCAGGACGTAAAGTGGGTCATGAGAGGTCTATGTGCCAAGTTTGGTCCTGATCAGTCATTGGATGAGGTTAACAGTGGTCTCAGAATGTGAGTGATGGTACTGCAAGTCCCATCATCCATGGTTCATCCTCCTCCAAACTGCAGTAGGATGTCGAGTGGGTCATGGGGGCTTTGTGTGCCAAGTCTGGTCTGTATTGGTAATTGTCTGACCCAGCCCCCTCTGGCCTTTTCCTTTCCTCTCTTTGTCATCTTGGAATCTTGGAATTGAGGCTGGCCAATCAGAGACCATATGCAAATTTCCTTCTCATGTCCCCGTTTCTGCCATGAACTCTTTTCTCCACCAGGGGCTCCTATTGAAGCTGGCCAATCAGAGACCATATGCAAATAGCACCACTGCGGCAGCCAGTCAGAATGTTGGAACTTTCAGGCTGGCCAATCAGAATGCTGGCACATACACTGCCACACTTTTGTCCTCCGCATACAAGTTTTGACTTTTATTATATGTATAGATGTTTAATGTGCTATTGAAGACTTTCATGGCCAGAATCACTGGGTTGCTGTGGGTTTTCCAGGCTGTATGGTTATGTTCCAGAAGCATTCTCTCTTGACATTTTGCCCACATCTATGGCAGGCATCATCAGAGGCTGTGAGGTATATTGGAAACTAGACAAGGGAGTTTCCAATATACCTGTTGAAGGTCCAGGGTGGGAGAAAGTACTCTTGTCTGTTGGAGGCAAGTGTGTTTCCAGTCATAAAACAATCAGGGCCAGCTAACACCTACCAACAAAGAATTCCCCCAGGCAAAAAGCAGCTCGGCCTTGAAGCTGCAGGGGTTTGCAATGCAAATTAAGGTGATTAA